GGGTGCCCGATCCTTCAGCTCACCTCTAAACAATGTATTAAAACACTTCTGCAGTATTTCTATTACTTCAAAATTGGAGTTCAAACCTAACATTTAGTTTGGGATGGAGGGAAACTAAATTAAAGCAGAGGTAGATTTTTAAATAAAAGCATATTTCACTTCAATGGCAATGGAAAACTTCAGTCTGAAAATGTTAACATGAAATGCTGCTTTGGTTTTGTTATTTCCCCAAGCAAAGCAATATACAGAAATCCATCCAAAAAGCTTAGGTGTTCCCATTGCTCTGAAATGACTGTTGTGAACTGAGGCAAGAAAAAACAAATTCTAGCTGTTCTTTGGCAGTAATATAGCAAAGGACACCATACAGAGCAGTGTGTGCCCAGGAATCACTTAGGGCACCATATCAGAGTGAGTGGGACAAATGGTGACCATTGGATTTTGCCTTTCTGGTCTTCTAGCAGGTCACCATCCGGGCGCAATCAGAGGGAGCAGAGATTTCCAAGGCCTTTCCCACTCTTATGTCTCCAGTACCCAGAGACATCTGACCCTGTGATTCCCATATTCACTTGATTGCATGGCTGCTCACTCCTGGGAGGTGATTTGCTGGTGTTATTACATTTAGTTATGGGATTAACATATCTGAACGTGGCTGCTTGTGGTTCCAGACGTTAGTAGTTTGGGGTTATGTTCTACAAATAGCTGTGGCTTGGAGCCCTATATGCTGTCGTCATTTGGGTTATGACTTTTGTTAGCACACAGTCATTACTCAGCTCTCATGAAACTATATAAGAGAAAGATCATGTCAGTAAAGCTGATAAGAAATTAGACCCTCTCATGTTCAAAGACAGCTGATACCTTGTTCCAGGCATGGTTGAATAGGGCTGACAGCGGAATAAGAAGTTATTTGCCTTAACCAAATTCACTTTATAGGAATAAGTATAACTCACAGAGAAGAAAATGCATATGTAGCAGATTCATCCAAGTAACCATGAAGCTAGATGGCTGGCAAACACTTATCTGAACAGCTTATCCTCACACTGTTTCCATTACTCTCACTGGGTAGGCAAGAAATACCACGAAACAACATGTTCTCTGGGAAAGCCTTAAGGTCCTAACCCATATGTCAGGAGCAATCATATAGATGTAGGGTTGGCTGCCATTCAGCAAATGTTGATCCTTGTTCAAAGTGGCTGCTTTGGTTGCTCTTTGACTTTTTTGAAATACATTATACAAATAGAGAAGGAGGGTAACTGGCTCCAATAATGGAGCAATCACAGCAAAAGCAGAAATACTGTTATTTAAGATGTTAAATTTTGGCAACATTTGCATGAACGTTAATTTTTGAAGAAAACCATAAAGTATTATTTTTGCCCCCAAAATTCAGTGCTGCTTAACACCATTCTGTCTGGCAGAAGCAGGGTAGGAATGCAGAGATGCACCCACATCATTATTGTTCATTTTCCTGTTCTCACATGCATAAAGCAGATTATAACCCAGCATACTTGAACCCCAGTAAAGAGATTCACATCGCATCCCTCGCTTTTCCTTACATAGTGCATTCTGAGAACCAAATGACAGATGATAAACTCACCCCAGGGTTCCTGAGCTATTCCATGGTGCCTAGGGAAAGTGTGTGAATTCTTCTTACACCTCCTTCAACACCACATTCTCCGTTGTCACTAATAACACGAGCAATGGACTGAAGCTGACCTTCACAGTGGTTGGAGCAAACTGTGATTCCCATACTGCCTGGGTGACGGTGTGGTCCAATGCCTTTAAGTGCAGTTTATCCTTGTGCTACTTGTGAGTGCAAGTTCCATGTCAAGCATTCACACCTCCTTTTTTTTAAATCAAATAAAGCAGGTTGAAATGTTCAGAAAATAAAATACTCTTTTTAGAGGGTTTTGGGATTTGTGAAAACACTGCTTAACTGCTTGGGGGTTTCTGTCCCTGCACATTTAGTCTCCTCATCACCTACGCTTGCCTGGAAGAAGGTGGTTGAAACAAAGAAGGAAAAGAAAAGCCAGGTTGGATGAGGCTTTGAGCAACCTACTCTAGTGGAAAGTGTCCCTGCCCATGGCAGGGGGTTGGAACTGAATGAGCTTTAAGGTCTGTTCCAACCCAAACCATCCTAGGATTCTATGAAAACCAAACAAAAAGAGCAAAGAGGTCAAAGTCTCCTCTTCCCGTGCTTTACAAGTGAATATTTTTCAGAAGAGTGAAAACCAATAAATGTAAAGTTATTCTTAAGCTCTTCTGGAATAAATCCATTCCTAAAAGTGGAAAGCAAGCCAATTTTGCACCTTAAATCTTTTGCTCGCTCACTTTCATTCCACTTGGAGAACTGCAGTAGGAATTCAAGGTTGCCAGATGCATGAGGCTTTTTTTGGCATTGCTTCTTGTTACAGAATATAAAGCCTAGAAGACCTAGGACTGAGGCTTCCTTTTTTCCCCTTAATAACTGTATTATGTTGTCATTCAGCCTCACAGCAGGGATGCAAAACTCTCCTTTGAATTACTGGCATGTCAGTAACTCACTTACCACATACTGCTTTCTGAAAGCAAAATACCCTCCAAACCCCATCAAAGTGTACATTTCCTTTGATTTGGACAACATTTCCAGACCCTTATTTCACTGACAAAGTCATTTGTGCAATGAACTCTGACACAAGTATCATTACCTTGGTTCTTGTTTTCTGTATGCTTTTTTACTCACTTTTGTCACCATTGTTGATGACAGCAATCTTGGTACATTAGAGCATCTTGGCCACATAGGACTGCTTCTTCTGACCTCCCTCCCTCCAACTTGCTCCCTTCAAAACATCTTTCCATGTGCTACCAGACAAGCCTGGCCAGGTTTTGCTCTGATTGTGAAGCAGCTTGGACTGGAAGATGGGGAGACACAGGGCAAAGTGTGCTCAGAGTGTATTCACCCATCACAGGACTGGAGCCATGTCTGTAAATCACAGTCACTTTTACTAAGCTCTTGAAAACTTAAATCCCAGGCACTCAGTCTTGTGGAAGGAGCTGTACCTCCCACAGCAAAACAGCAATGTCTTTCCCTCTGCCAAGAGGCAAGGAAACAGGATGACTCTCCTCACCACACTATACAGTGCAAAGAAACCGTACATCTTTTCACACACAGCAACCACACTGAGATTCACACAGACTGGAAGAATGGCTCCACTGTTTCTCCTCTCATTTATTCTTCAGAGCCTTGTTGTTCAAACTGCTTTGCTTTTGATGTATCTGCATAGATTATACGCAGACAAGCTGCTGACCACAAGGGTATACAAACAGAGTTTGCCAGTTAACCGCTCACACCGCGTTTGTTCCAGATCCACAAAGATTTGCAGCTCCGGAGCTGAACTTGGGGTGAGCAGTTCAAACAAATCCCAGATCCCCAAGCTGAACTCAGTCAAACTGCTCAGTTTCATATCAAAAGCATACATAATTATACACATAAAGGCACAAGGAGCCCTGATGTACACAGAAGGCTGCTGAACTCTAACCGACACCTGGAGATGCTTCTCTTTTGCTTAGATCGGCTTGGAAATTACATGTTTGATTCTTCATTTTTAAATTAACATTAAAAAAAGCAGTGACTGCAGAGTTGCTTTCACAGGGACATTCATATACCAGCATTTCCTGAAGAACTGCTTTTATTGCTTTTCTGCCACTCAGGGCTATAGTTTGGAAAATGAAAGATGAACCGTTCCAAAAACTAAAATCATCTACGCCGTGCACCACGTAGCACCATTCGCCTACTAACGTTAACTTCTTCCTAAGGAAGCTTTTTAAAGGGAAACAAAGATACTTAACAGTGTTTTCCCATGAAACCTGCTGTGCAGCCACAGACCTGAGCTTCTAATTTATTGCAGACCTCAAACCATGCTGGGGTCCAAACTAGCATCTAAAATGCTGCTGAAAACTCTTTTTGCAGCCTGATTTTGAACACAAATCATGAGGTCCTTCTGAAAGCACTGCATTGAATCTGTAACTCCAAAACTATGGACAAAAGGAAGTAACTTCTGGACTTTGTATGTACTCCAACTTATGAAATAAATATTTTGCTACCCTGAGGGTGAAGTAATTTTCCTTACATCCAGTATCTATTTCTTTTGAAGGAAGCAGGTTGTAAAACATTCTGGCTGCAGGGGAAGAGAAAGATGTGTAGGTCCACAGCTGCTTTACTGCTGCCCTGCTGCCTCTGCAGCACTTGGCAGCCTTTGGGAGGGCAAGCCTTCTTTCACTGGGTTTGGTCCAGTTTCCTGTTAGTGATAGGAATAGTGCTCAGAGGTGAATGACACGAGAGGCTCAGCGCAGTTTAGGGTGTCCTTGGGTGAATATTTCTTTGCTGTGTAAGGAGGGGCAATAGGCATTTTTGTTACAGTTGTCACATCAATAAATGTGGGGTGGTGGATGATCCTCAGAATAAAAGCACCCTGAACTCATCTGTGTGACTTGGAGAGAGCTACCCAAGCCCCTCATCAGGAAAGACACAGGAGCCTCTGAATACAGCACCCAACCCAGAGTCAAGCCCAGTCCTATTCCAGCGCAGCCTAAGGAACACATACCTTCAGGAACTGAGCTGCCACATATGCCAAACGCTGAGCTGTGACAACAACGAGGTGCTTGGGAGAAGACATATGACAAACCTTAGAGCCAGAAACAACGATGAAGCTGTGCAGGCATCGGTCAACACAAATTCTGCATGTCTGAGCTGTTAAACAACTATAGTCCTGCTATTCCACGGTGCTGAGCACAGCCAGCACCTGACCTGCAGGGCTACCCAGCTCCCCAGCAAATCCACTGATAAAAGCAGAGGAGCAGCCTTTGCTAACTGCATGCATTAGTGAAAGAGGTGGTATTACATTAGTTTTGGTGGGTTTTAGTAAAGGTATGAAATCAGATTTTCTCATCTACAGCCTAGGGATCACATAGGACACCCAAAGCAGCAAAATAGCAACTTTTACCTTTAACTTACTGTCCAAAACACAGTCTGGAAAGGAGGAGAGTCCCCCAAAACAGACCTCTCAGCAAAATCTCAGCAGCTGCTGTTTGCAGAGACTTTGTGTTGGAGTTACTGACCTCAGCCAGTAACAAACCCACCAAGCCAGGTGCCCAGCCAGCTGTGACTGGAGATGCTGCACAGCTTTTCCCACCAGGCTTTCTAATTAAAATCAGAAGAAAAAGAAGACTGATTCAGCAAAAGCAGAGTATCACAGATGAGACACATATCATGCACAAGAGACGCTAAGCACATGCTTGTGCTGCTGGCTCCACACACCTCTGAGCTTGCCATGCTGCTGCAGGCCTGTTCCAGCTTGTGGGGCTGATGTTGTGATATAAGCTCCTCAAGTGATTTGGCTATTAGGTTAATCTCTGGGCCTCAGTTTGCCCACCTGTGAAAAAGAGGTAACATTTCTCCCATAAGGGCTATGAAGAAACAAGTGGGAAAGGAGAACATGTGCTCAACTGCAATAACACAGCCAACCCTAAAATGTTCAGGCAAAATCCCTGCTGTGCCTGTCCTGCAATCTGGACCTGGGAGGGCTTATCCATAAATGATGGGAGCCTAATGAAGCCAGGCAGCCACCCCTGCTCCTGAGGCTTTGCACTGGCAGCCACAATGAGACGTTCAGTGGCATCTCCTGTCACTCATGAACTGTAGCAGATACTCTCCAGGATTTATTCTGCTAATTGCTCCCTCTTCTCTTAGCAAGCCAAAGCACTAATTAAACTTTGTGATCCCCTCTGAACAGCCTGAGGTCCTGCCTGGCTAGCATGGACAGCCGAGCATCACTCAGGTTAGTGGTCCCATTCCCACCGTGCTCCTCACAGAGAGGCCTGAGCTACTTGTGAATCAGCCACTGAACCATCCCACTGAGCACAGTGGCTGTTTAAAGGCCAAGGGTTTGCTATAAAAGGCTGCCCGATGGGGTTCTGCCATGGCTGAGTTACCTCCTGCCCCCGTGCCTGAGGGCTGCATGTGGCTCTCCCTGTATTTATACGATTCCTGTCTTCTCCACAGCCTTTCCAGAAGCTTGTTTGGCTGTATGGAGAATGCATCTCTTCTGAAGGGCACTCAGGTGAGATGCTTTGGGGCAAATGTGAAGGCATTGAGGGGGTATCTGATAGGAGAAAATCAAACTGCCACTGCAGAGGGATCATAACTGATGTTGGGATTTCAAGAGAGACCAATTCAGCCTTCATATATGCATACCTCAAGGGACAGAAGGTATTGGTAATGTGCATTAGCCATGACTCTAAACCAGGCCCATAGTGGCATCTATCCCTCCATCCCTCTCCCCAGTGTCTGAAGCCCAAACTCCATCCCCAGCTGGATGGGGTTTAACGCAGTGCTGCTGCAATCTGCTGAAACACTGAATTACGGCTGCATAAAGCCTGGGGTCTGCTGAGCCAGGCCCTGCAAACTCACATTTTTCTCTTTCAATATGTGAAAGAAAATGGGTTAGGCATTGCCTTCTCTAAAATGACTAGACATATTAATGCCTTCAGTATATGGTGAACAAAAGAGGCTAAAATTGAAGGTCTGCCAGGTTTTCTCATTAAAACTGTAGAGTTGGAGCTTTATTTCTCAGCTGCAAATAGCTGTAGGCTGGAACTTGGCAATATGAGCTCCGACAAAAAGTGCATTTTCATTTTCTGAACCCTTTTTTTTGGTGCCTATTTTTATATTATGCACATATAAAGAAACAGTGGTCTGCTGGTAGAGATGCTTTTGCCTTCCTTATGTTATAAAGAGCCGACAGCCTGTATTTAAAGGTGAACTCTCTTAGTAGCGCAGGCTTGTGGCTGACCCCTTGATGATTTTAACATAGCTTTAGGAGTGTGAAAATAGAGCTATGGGCTAAACCTACACTGTCGATGGAAAAGAGCAATGAATTCCTCCTCAGTGTGATACATACACACAGTGGCTAGATACGGCATATTCTTCTCTCCGATTTCACAGTGCCGTCTTTGTTAAACTGACAAGCTGTTATGTGGAAATAAACACACCCAGCACAGCCTGGGTCTGTCCAGGGCACTGAAATTCCCAATGGGAATCTCAGCTGTTTGCTGGTACCTGCAAAAATCTGACATGTGAAATGGTGGGTGGGAGATAAGTGTGGAAAATAAAAGGCTTACGGCAGAAAGCGCTAAGGCGAATCATGTTATGGACTCTAGGGACTCTTACCCTAGACCATCTCTATCTCTCCCTTAGAACTGGATTTGGGCCTGACCATGAATAGCTCCTCACTCTCCTGTATCATCCATATATTTTTCCCTCCTCCCTTTCACTGGCAGAGGGGATTCTTTGATGCTTCTTCCCCTATGGAGTCTGTTTTCCAGTTGCCATGGCCATGAACAGCCAGAGAAGCAGGGTTCCCAGGAACCAGAGAAAAACGCGGTCGGTGATAGTGTTTCAAAGGAATAAATCAATTGTTCTGACTAATAGATCACACAGGCTCGGACTTCGAGTTCAGATCTCAGGCTTTCAAGCCTGGCTGCAAACAGTTGGAATCTGGTAAAAGGACAGATTTTCCTCCAAGATTACCTCAGTGTGTCCAGGCTGGTGACAAATCTGCAGTCAAAGTTCGTCATGCTCAAAACCAAAGCGCCACAAAAGATATTTCAGCAGACCTTGGCCTTTTCCTGACGATTCCTTTGATGTTCTTCCAGGAGGTGTGGTTGGGACCATTCTGCCCAAATGTACATCCGCCAAGAACTTAAATCACCTTTGTGAGCCCTGTCTGAGATCTGGAGGCTGTTCCCTGGCAGTGGATCCAGGGCTGGAAGGGATTTTCTCAGGGAAGTTCATTTTGACGTTAAACACCTGAATTGAAGCCGGGGACTCTTGAGAGCTGTGACCAAAAGCTGCCAAAAGAAGAGACAAAATAGAAGGCTCCAGGAGTCCTCAAGGACTGTTACGGCCTTGGGGTACATAAGAATTGGCAGTCGGGAATGGACACAGGGATATTTTACATCCAATTCCTTGTTTCTGAAGGAAGCCAACTTCAGAGGATGATGAAAGACGTTTTCCTAAGGCAGAGTGAACACATCCCTGTAACAGTTTAACCTAACTCCCAACTGTAAAAGCTTGGGGCAATCCAACAGCCCTTGCTGGTTTGTATTTTTGCCTTCAGTATGATAAAGCAGTACTGAAGACAAATGGAACGTTTCAGTCTGATGTTGCATTCATTGGAAAACACTGATTTACTTTGGTTGAAACAATGCACAAGCCCACATCAAATTCCTTGGTTAGAAAAAAGCACACATCAATCAAAGGGGAGAGTCCCTGCGTTCTTGAAATGAAACATCCTGACTTGCTGTTCTGGAAGCAATGCACCTGGAAGTTCACCCAGCTTTAGTTTTAAAAGATAAAAAAGGCATTTGCCATCTTAGTCCCAAATTCCATAAACGTTGAGTTTAAACCAAGACCAGCAAACCAAAAAACAGCCATTTGTGCACTTGCATGTTAGATCATCATCATTTCACTCTATGTCTTATACCCTTTCAGTCTTAGTGCTGTCCTGCTGCAGGAAGTTCCACAGTTGAATTGCAGACATGTTAAGAGAGCATTTTCCTCCCTCCCTCCCAGCTGAGAGCCTGCTTTGAACTTCCAAGCTGCTTTCCTTAGTGGATTAAAATAAACTGCAAGCTTGTAGGGGAATATATGCACTCATCATTTAGCTCAAGGTGCATAAGCATGTAGGAGCTCAAAGATATTTGGTTCTATAAAGCTGTGCTCTAGATTACTTCTGATTACTCTCTGTTTGTGTAAGTGAAATTTAAACCTCAGGTCAATCTCAGCGCCTCAGTACGAAGCAGGGAGCACATCTATCTGACCCACTAAAACCCCTTCATGGGACACTGTGTTGTGCTCAAAAAGGGAAATATTATAGAATCATAGAATAGTTAGGATTAGGGTTAGGGTCCTTAAGATCATCTAGCTCCAACCCCCCTGCTATGGGCAGGGACACCTCACATTAAACCATGTCACTCAAGGCTTTGTCCAACCTGGTCTTGAACACCGCTAGGGATGGAGCGTTCACAACTTCCCTGGGCAACCCATTCCAGTGCCTCACCACCCTTACAGTAAAGAGCTTCTTCCTTATATCCAGTCTGTCCAGTGAACAGCAGCTCAGAAATGATTTTATAATGTTACCTGCTCTACCTGGGTGCATTTCCTGCTCATTTCCTCCTCCTGTGTCGATGCCTCCGATTCGCTGTGGTCTGGTTACTACTTAGGGAGCAGCAGGCATCTTGCACAGCTTTTTGTGCAAAGCTGAATTTGGATGTCAGCAATTTGTTATTGTTACTCCCTGCTGCATGATAGGGACGTTTTCTGCACAGCAACAGTTGAATAATTTCTCACTGCTTATACCTCACATTAAAAACCCTGAAAACCTCCTGTCTCTAAAGACCGCCAGGCAGGCAAGCATGAGAAGACAACAATCAGCTTGGACTCCAGAGATACACTAAACAATTACCTGGTGGTGATTAGCAGCTTATTAACACAAATCTGATTTTATCACTGCAGGTAGAATTTAGTATGAAAACGTTTGGTGAGCGCTGACAAAGGCTTCCCTCCCTGCTATGGCAGTCTGCAACACCCTTGACAGCACAGCAATAAAATCACAAGAGCTCCTGGCATGTGAAAGGGTAAGAGACGACTGAGAAGCACGTGAAAATAAGGGAATTGGTCCTTTGCATACACAGACATTTGCTTTCAGAAGCCCAAAGTTGAGCATCTACTGTAGGAAGCCAGAATTAATACAGTATTCCTGAGACAAATATATATGGTTCTTTCTAAGTTACAGGCATGATTTCCCATCTTCAGTTATTTAGGAAGAAATAACTCCTGTGACTCAGGACAGAAGGGCTGCCTGCTTTTTAATCATCACAGCTTTTGGCTTCCCCACCAAAGCAGCAGCAACCAGAGCCGAGCCTCACCACAGGCTCACCCAAGCCAGCCCCTTCCATGCCCCCCTACATCACCATGGCTTTCAGGCATGCAAAGCAGGGTTTTTTTAACCTTTTTTTTTAGTGCAAATAGGTAAAATATTTAAGCTTGGAAGTAACTAATTACCCTCCCCTTGAGCTATCCCAAGGACATTTTCAAAGCTAATGACAGAGGACTGCTGATAAATCCATGTATTTCCAGATAAGGAGGAAAGCAGTGAGGCTTTGAAGAGGATATCTGTGGCACGCTGAGCAGGAGCCTGCCAGAAAGTGTCACGTCCCTGCCACCTTGTGACAATGCACTACAACTGCATAAACCCCAAACCCTGCAAGCTTTTGGATGGACCTGGCTCTTCTCCGTGATCTCCAGAGGGAACCCCAGGGGCTCACGCAGAGCCCAGGGCAGGGATGAAATCACTGCCACGCTGTCTCGGGATTAGACCCTCCCTGAAGGTTAGAGTGGCTTGTTCTCTTCCTGTGACAGGGAGACACACAGTGTCTATTACAAACCCCATTTTGCCAACATCCAGGTGCTGTGTAAGATGCTGCCAGAGAACAAGGCTTTTTAGAAGACCTTTGGGCTGCCTGGATGAGAGGAGAGATGCTCCGGCCACAAGGAATGGTACCTCAGCGGTTTCCACACCGAGGTGGTGAGAGCAGTGGTTCTTCCCAGAGCACGGATGTAATTTCTCAGTGGCTGGCTCTGCTTTTCCTCTGAGGCAGAGCTCTGCAGAGTGCTTCAAACTTGGCTGTTTATGAGGGGGAAAAATAGGTTAGCCAAGTATTTTATCCAGACTTATCTGATGTTTTTGCCTGCTTTGCCTCTTCCTGAATTCCCTGTCCTAAGAAAACAGCTGCCTTTGGCCTTCTAAGGGGAACTTTTGTGTAATGCTTGAAAAAACAACAAAAAAGTCAGTGTCCTATTTTGAAAGCCTCAGCCAAGGAGACACGTTATCACAGCTTCTCCATCCCCACTGCATGCAGAGCTGTGGCACTGGGCCAGACTGCTCCTCCTCCATTCATTCCTAAATCTGCACAGAGAACTGAAGGTTACTTTGGTTTTCCATTGTTCTCGTTTTCCTGCAAAAGACCTTTCAGTGCCAT